AGGCTTTCTCAGAAAGTTAAGATTTGGAGAGGTAAAATGTGCCTATTAGAGATAAAAATATGCAGACATTTTGAATATCTGAATATATAGTGGATCAGTTCTCTGCATTCCCTTCCCTGAACCAGTGTTTAGGTACTCTGCTATAAATGCTTTTTCTCTGAATTGAGAATAAAGCAGAATATCAGACAGCCAACTTTTCCACTTAGTCTTTCATTAGCCAAATACTGGGAAAAGGAATGTTTAAGACAGTTTTTAAGATCTTAGTCTTATGCAAAAGCAGAGAAAAGTAGGATATAATTAATATGATCAGTATAAAACTGACAAATGAAAATGTTGCAACTATTTACCTGTTTTTGACTGTCCAAAAGTGAAGTTAAGGAGCAGAGAATAGTCTCTATATGTAAAAAAACACATACACATAAATCCCCTTTGTTACCACCTGGCAAGTAACATGGTATGTGGAGAACTTTTTTTAATTCAGAGATCACTAATATATTCATCTTTAGCTCTTTCCCCTCCCCATTGGCCTTTTTATCTGTTAGTATGGAAAGTAGTTTTGGTTCTCTAACATTATCTTGTTAGTTGTACTGAGCATATAAAATCTTGATAAATCTTAAACCCTGTGTAGTGAATACATATTTTGTTTGTTTGTTTCTTTCTTTCTTTTCCATTGTTATTTTGAACCAACTCACAGTTGAAGTCCAAAGTCAGTGTATGTTAATTTTGAGAGGGGATATGTGGTCATCCACAAACAGAATGGCTAGCTGGTAGGAAGGTTGTTTGGGATGTTGAAATCAGAGCTGTAGAAGAGTAGCTGAAACAGAAATATTTCCTGATAAACAGGTTAATAAGGCATTATTCTTTTAATAGTACAAATAATCCCTCTTGAGAGATATATATTACCTTTTCATGAGAGCAGTGACTGACTTGGATCAACTACTATGAATGCCATTCTTAACAACGTTAACTTGTTAAAGTAAGTTAGGCCACATTACTTTATGAATAGAAGCTATTTGGCTGTGAATACAATATGCGTAAGATGAGAAAATGTATGTTAAGTTAAATGTATGTTAAATGAATTTTGATTAAATTTATATGGTGTTCTTTTTCTAAGAATAAGTAAAGCATTTGCCTCATCTGTAATTTTATTATATAATCATATGTTAATTCCCTTTCTTGACCTCATAATTCATATTTTTGTAGGTCATAAAAATCCATCATGACCAGATTTTTGTCAACAAGTCTGACAAAATTGGAATACCCAGACCTACATTCTTGAGGCGGATTAATACTAATTAAGAGATACGTGGTACAGTATCTTAAGTTACAAATTATTTCCCAGATCTTTATTTTCATTGAATTCAAATAAGAATATTGTTAAAAGGTGAGTTGCTGGGCCCTCCCTGGTGGCGCAGCGGGTTAAAGCGCAGCACTGAGAATCTAAAGCCACTTCCGCATGAGTTTGATCCCTGCTGCCCCAGAGGTGTTCCACATGGCGCGGCAGACCTCTCCTGACCCGCCCGCTGCTCCCCTCAGCAGTGTACTTCGTCGATCTGCCTGTTCTGCTCCCCACTCTGTCTCTGATGAATCCTCTCACCCTCCGCATATCTGGCCTGTACCCCAGTTCTATATGAATAAATAAGTAAATCTTAAAAAAAAAAAAAAGTGAATTGCTACTAAAAAATGTAATCTTTAGCCTGTAGGATAAAATCCCAAAGTATACCCATAATATTCAGAAATCTGATTTTAACTGTATTTCATTTTAAAAAGAGTGGAATACAGTAGGTCTGTTTCAAATATTCTAATTGGCCAGTGTTGTGTTCCATTAAGTTTGTGTGTAATTTTGTCAGTGTTAAATCTGGTATAAAGCATTGGAGCAGGCTTTGTGACAAAGGTCCCCTAAGTAACTTATTGTGAGACTCCAGTGTATGCCATTTACCATCAACTGACAGTTTTGATACTCTTACTCTTAATCTTAAGCACTCAGGATACCATATATATACTAGTCTAAATCCTTTTCAGATTTTCTTCTCTTAGCTGTTCTATAAAATTGTAGGATTGACCTTACAGGTTTCCTGTTTTTTGAAACATCATTAAAAATTCCTAAAGCTCATAAAACTTAAATGCTAACTTAAAATGTTTCTAAGGTACAGCATGCTAAAATGAAAGAACAAAGTCTTCCAAATGGAAACAAATTATCATACCATAACTAAGATATACCATATCTAATGAAAAGTCTAAATTTTCATTAGATAAAAACTTTTTTTCTTAAAGCCCCAATTGTACTTTTCTACCCAACTAGATAACTTAGTATATAACTTAATGCTTTATAAAACTAAAAATCCAACATATATTAAACTGGCTTTACAATAACTATTTTTAATGTGACTATTCAAAAATTTCTCTTAACAGATGATTTAGAAGACAACTTATAAAAGTGTTGATCATAATCAAAGAATGCAGTTGCTATAATGGCTCCCATTTACTGGATGACTGCCACATGCTTAGGATTCTTCTTGGAGTCTTGTATTTATCAACTGTAATCTTTACTGTAACACTGCGAGGTAGGTACTGCTTGCCTCATTTAATTCATTAATGAGGAAAGAGACAGTGATAAGTCTAAAATGCCTCACCAAGTTATAAAACTGGTAAATTTGTTTGGCAGATATTTGAAAGCATTGTATCAGCATTGACATTATGCTGGGTTTGGCAATACAGTTGTCTCTACTCCAGAAGTAAAATCAGTGTTTAAATATAGTAGTACTGGATTCTACAAACTTTTCTTACCTTTTCCCACACTCTCTTACTCTAAGGACACTACCGAAAGGATATATACAATTGTTTCAGTGCCCCTCACTGGAAATGGAAACTGTATGTGGAGCATGTTTTAGGACAGAAATATATGAGTATCATATATATGAGTGTCTAGGAAAATATCCTGGGGTCTCTATGCATGATAAGGAACAGAAGGTCTATACTACATAATTTGACCTACGCTCCACCACCTATGAATACTACACAGTGCTATGATGATGAAGTGCACTTGCTTTTATATCTCATAGCCTTAAGGACCAGTATTATCTTAGTGAATAATACTGTCTAACATGATAACCATTAACTTATTACCACTTTTGAGTACTTGAAATGTGGTTAGTGCATCCAAGGAACTGAATTTTAAATTTTTAAAATTTTTAATCAAACAGATCTAGCTACTGGATCTTTTATGCATGCTTGGAACAAGTTGGGTGTGTAGATATTTTTTTCAACTGTACATTTGGAAAATTTAAATGCAGACTATTTAAAAATCTGATCAAAGTTCAGTATCTGAATTGAGATGTGCTATATTATATACCTGGATTTTGAATAGTACAAAATTTTACAGTATCTCATAAGTTATTTTTAAAATATTGATTAGGTTCCCTCTCTGGTGGTGCAACAGGTTAAAACACAGAACTGAATCTGGCCACAGCCATTTCAGCATGAGTTAGATCCTCGGCCAGGGAGGGGCAGCAGACTTCTCCGTTTCATCAGTTGCTCCCCTCAGCAGTACTGTGTCAGTTGGCCTGTTCTGCTCCCCACTTGGTCTCTGGTGAGTCCTCTCACCACCCCCTGTACCTCTGGCCTGTACCCCAGTTCTATATGCATAAATAAATTAAAAAAACAAATATAGATTACATGTTGAGTGATATTTTGGACACAAGGGTTAAATATAATGTTATTAAAATTAAGCTATTTCTTTTTAAGAGTTATTTATTTATGCATACAGAACTGGGATACAGGTCAGAGATATGGGGAGTGAAAAGACTTACCAGAGACAGAATGGGGAACAGAACAGGCAGATGTACTAAAATACACTGCTGAAGGGAACAGCGGGTGGGTCAGGAGAGGTCTGCCACGCCATGTGGGCACCTCCTTGGCCAGGGATTGAACTCTTGCTGCAGTAGCTGCAGTAGATTCATAGTTCTGTGCTTTAACCCACTGTACCACCAGGAAAGGCTTATTTTTTTTTTTGATTGATTTATGCATATAGAACTGGGGTACAGGACAGAGGTGCTGGGGCAATGAGAGGATTTACCACACACATAGTGGGGAGGAACAGGCAGATGGATGAAGTACACTGCTGAGGGGAACAGTGGGCAAGTCAGGAGAGGTCTGCTGCACCATATGATCAACTCCGGGGCTGAGGAAAGAACTCACACTGAAGTGACTGCTGCTAGCTTGCAGTGCTGCTGCCTCAACCTGTTGTGCCACGAGGAAGGGCCCTTCTTTTTTTAAAGATTATTTATTTATGTATCCAAGAAATGGGGTGTAGGCCAGAGTTGTGGGATTCACCAGAGACAGAATGGGGTGCAGAATGGATCTACTGAAATACACTGCTGAGAAGAGCAGTAGTGAGACAGGAGAAGTCTGCTATGCCATATGGGTCACCGTCCTGGCCGGGGATCGAACTCATGCTGCAGTGGCTAAAGATAACTTCATAATGCTATGCTTTAACCCATTAAGCCATCAGTAAGCCTCCCTAAACTTTCTTCTTAATCTTTCCTTTTTAATGTATCTTATTACATTACATTGAAGCTTGCATTATATCTGTTTTGTATGGTATATATGTAATCTAACGAGTACTGACAAAGAGAATATGGTCTTTTATTTTTTGGCCTCAAAATATTTTCCTACTATATCTTATTTCCTTCTTATCAGAAGTTATGTATTGCTCATCATTTTTTTCATTGATGTTAAGGATCATGTTAAACTATGTCGATATTTTTTTTCTGTAGTAGTGATATAAAAATTAGATACACATACTTATATGAATTGTCATTAAGGAAGTGTACAAACATATTTATTTCCAAAAAGTATTTCTCAGAGTAAGTTTCTGAAAATAGCTAGTAAACGTAAGTATTCTGTGGGATTATATTCAAGGTTTGAGATTAGAGGAACTATATATATATATATATATATATATATATACGTATATATGTACTATAAAGTATAAATAGTCAGACAAAAGGAAACACAGAGTGTATAAAAATAGAAAAAAGATACAAATGCAACATATCAATGTCAGAGGTGTTTTTTTTTCTTGTCTTTCCCCTTTACTTCAAAAGTTACAAATACTTTTGAAGCAGCATGTATTGTTGCACTTTTGATTTTTTGCTGTACAGTTAATGAACTTGAGAGTCCGGATGATGGGTGATCATCTATTTGGCCTTCCCACTCTTTTGTTTCTTCTTCCTTGATTAGTAAAGGTTTTCCCAGGGTTTGGCCAACAAGGTTACAGACTTCTTGAGCTTTGCGCCATGCATTCTCAACAGCAACAAGACAGGCTTGCCGTCTAGGAATTAAATGCAGAGATTATTGTGACATTCAATGAACTGTAACACTTTGTTTAGTAATTAGTAATTGAGTTAAACATGTGCTTAACTTACCGAAGATTCTCAGTAGCTCCTGTAGTATGATAGAACTGGGGTTGGCTGATGACAACAGAGCTATCTAGCTTTTCAACAAGAAAGTTACAGATATTTTGCATTTTTCCAAATTCAGTAAATGTAATGCAGACCTATAAACAAAGTGACACTAAAATTATTTTCATATTTGAGGCATTAATTCAAAATTTTCCTCTAAACATGAGTTAAAAAAGCAAGGTTACAATATCATTTTATAGTATTTAACAAATAAATGCTCATTTAATACTTATGAGTTTGTTATTCAAATTCAGTATTTTTGCTTAAGAGTATTATTATTTCTCTACTGTTAATTTGACAATTTAAAAATTCATTTAAAATCAGTAAGGGACTTTTTGTGAAAGAGAACTGAAATGTGGGCTAAACGCTGGCTAGTGAAATAAGCAGTAGCAATAGTCAAGTTCTTCAAAGGAATCAACGTATGTTCCCCTGGATTTTCTTCTTTTTTAATGGTTTACTAAAGGCACAGTATAATTGTGAGAACTGTGTATCCACCTAGGATGCACAGATTTTTTAGAACTAGCCCCTATTTTTGGACTAGCTACCTCTGATTGTTAAAGGGGAGACAAATTCATATTTAAGTCACTGAGCTCTTTTGGTTCTATGCTATATAGTAGCATAAACTCTCCTAATTCTGTTGCTTATTTCACTATATATCATTAATTATATATTTCAAGTATAGTCTGACATACTGCATACATATTATTATTTTAGCATAAATTTCAATTTTCTTAAAATTCATAATTTAACATAGGGCCCTTTCTGCCATTATCTCAAAAAATTAGCTGTAGTACATAATTATAGTCAGAATGCGTCCTCTTAGCCCTTAACAGCTATAGTTTTAACATTTACCTTTATATTAGAGGCAGAAAAATCAATTGGAGGTAATTATAAAAGTCCACAATTCCAAGCTTTACAGTGTAATACAATATTTATTTTTCTAATACAGCATGACTGACTGCAGATCCTTAACCCTGCTTAAGTCTTAGGAAAGAGAATAAAGAGAGAATTCAAATTATGGTAAAATTAAAATGAATCAGAATTATCAGCTAATTAAAATAAAGCAAGAGTAAAGAACATATGTGCTCTATCCATCTTTAAAACTATTTTTAGAATCTCATGAAATTGCATGAAGTAGTCACAGATTACTATCAAGCGGTAACTAAACAGTGACTGTCAGGAGGTTTCTTTTTCTCCAATATTTTCTCAAAATGGAGATATTAGAAGGTTGCACATGGGTTAAAAAGGATAGGGGAAATTATCTCAAAGCAGGAAAAAAGTCACCCTCTTTAAAATCTGGTTTCTTCTTCTAGGTAAGCTCCTAAGAAAATATATTATTACATATACTTGTTTTCCCATGAAACATGGTAAGTCTTTATTTTTTGTGACTGAATCTTTTTTATGTATTATTGGCACTCTACTTTGCTAACAGGCTATGTGGAAGGGACAGGAAAACCTGCTAAGCAGGATGCAAGAAAAATACGAGTCTTTTTTCTTTGATTCTATCCCTGTGTCACCTGAGGTGAATCTACTCCCATTGAATCAGGTTTAGTTTGTGGTACCTGCTTGCTCTCTGTTAGGACAGTAAATTCAACAGAAGGGAATATTACAATGCAAGCTCCAAAAAGTTAATTTAGTATTAGATGTGTTATTAGAAATAAACATTGTAGAGAGGTGAATAATCATCTTTCTCTAATATGGACTGGCCAAATCACAATTAGAACACTACACTTGTAGATTCTTTAGTATCAAATTGGTAAACTAAAGAGAGTTTGTCATTAAGATGGAGCCAAAGAAAAATAGAGATTCTTATCCCTAAAGAAAGAAAAACTAGCATCAGTTTGAAGCTGAATATCAGGAATATACCTCAAGGAAGATGCGTTAACTTTATTTTGTTCTTGGAGTGTTATACTATTTCTTAAAAAAAGATTTATTTATTTATCCATACAGAACTGGGGTACAGACCAGGTGTACGGGGTGGGGATGAAAGGATTCACAGACAGAGTGGGGAGCAGAACAGGCAGAGGTATTGAAATACACTGCTGAGGGGAGCAGTGGGTGGTCAGAAGAGGTCTGTGACACTATGTGGGTTACTTCCTGGCCAGGGACTGAACTCTGCTGCAGTGGCTGTGGTAGCTTCATCGTGCTGTGCTTTAATCTCTTGTGCCACCCAGAAGGGCCCTGGAGTGTTACACTATAAGTGGTGGAAAGTACTAGTGAGACAATAATGGTCTAACAGTAAAAAAATCTGTATTGCCTATCTATGTATAAAATAATAACAAAGGAGAAGAGTTAAAATTGATTAGATTAGATAATATAAAGAAAGCATTTGACTCATGGGAAACATGTAAGGAAAAGGAAGGGGGAAACTGCATGAATGATCATCTGCTTTTCTGTTCAATATACATTTACAAAATGCCCATTATGGTCCAGGCTTTAAAAATAAAGCAAAAAACCCTAATGTTACAAGCAAACAACACAGAATAAAAAGAAGTTGTTACAAGCAAACAATACTTGTAAAGTCAAGATTTTACACCAATCTCCCACCCAGCATATCACCCACCCTTATAGACGTCACTTAGGAACTTCGTAACTTCCATATTCCTATCATTAAAATAAGAAGCAGGCTAAGAAAGTTAGACTCTCTACAGTGTCAGGATGAAAATTTCAGATATTCTGTAAAAACAAATGGACTACCATTTATTTTTTTCATGTATGTAACTGTCCTTGAGCATTTTGGTGTAGGTTAGAAACGAGATTTTAATATTCACTACTTTGCAGCCATAAAGTCACACAATGTTTTTTATGTACAAACTGCATACTTTGTATGTGATGATTCCACGACTCTGGTTTCTCTGACTACTGCTTATAAGTATATTAGATTGCACGATTTAAGTGTTCTGGCTAACAAGATGCTCTACCAAGGTGCTCTGCCAAGGTACTCAATACAAACTACCAAGGTGCAAAATACAAAATACAATCAATCCTCTCTAAAAATTTCTGATTACCAGACGTTAAAAAGATGAGTAATACAGAAAAAATAGGGACACTGTTTAGCCAAATCCAGTCTTACTCATGTTTTAAATAAAACAAGTGGCTCTAACGAACAGAGTGTTCTTTATGCATGTGGAAGGTCAGATCTTAGAATAACTCAGTCTGAAAACATTTTTTATATAATCTTAGCTGTGTGCTTGCTGGGACTGTCCCTGTCCATTCATACTTTCTGTTCTACTCTCACAATAAAACCCTTTATCTAAGATAACCTGAAGTCATAAAAAGTAGTTACTATTGGAAGAGTGCTAACAATGTTTAGCTTTTGACCTCATAATACAGAATTTACCACTGACCTTCCCTCTACTTCAAAAGGTGCTTTTTGATTCACCGCTACAACTGAATAACTTTTTTTTGAAGTGGATTCCTAAAATGATCATGTGTAGTGTTAATAGTTCTTGTAATTAAATTTTAAATAAAGAGATAACAAAATTGTTAAAGTAGTATTGGTACAATAAACAGTGTATCATGGAAATTAAATCTCAAGAGGTAAACGAGAGTTCTAATTTCCATTTTAATTCTTATAATATCTTTGGGAAATGGCATCCTTAAAACTGTAAAAGTAATATACCATTTGCCTGATGGTAGAACGAGGTGATTTCTTGAATTTTTTCCTCATCTCTTGCCTACATAAAGACTGTAACCTCATTCTTATTTTCTGTGACAAGGAAGTTGTATGAACTAAGCACATACCCAAAATGAATAACATTCCAAACCACAGTTCTAACATACTCTAATTGTATAAAATTCTATCATAAAATCATTAACAATAAGTTAAAAATATAGGCACTTGCAGAAACTATTACCATTGATTCTAAAAAATATTTTGTTCTTTTAAATTTGAGGTTGAATAGCTTTTATTTTAAATGTAATTTAACAATGAAATTGCACTGTGAAACAAAAGAATATTGAGAAGCATTTTAGTCCTTCTTTGTTGATGCTACTAATTTTCTTGTTATCTGAGAAATTTCTCTCTTACAATGTTTCCTACTCACTAGTGATAACAGAATGAAAATTTTATTCAATTGGCAATTAACTGTTACTTCCCCACTACAATTTTTATATTTCCAAACAATTTTTATCAAATCTATTAAATTCATATTAAAAGCTTACACAACATATATGTAACACCACAAATGATGTTGAGAAAAATAAGCTATCAATAACGATAAAAATGATTTCTCCTGCACACTTCAATTTAAGAATAAAAACAAATGCAAATTGTCCTCATAAAGTCATGCTGTTTCCAATTATTTGTTGAAATAAGGACATACCTCTGCTTCCATGTGATAAGCATTTTCTACTCTTCTAAATTCCTTCATCACAGTTACATTTTCTGCCTGAAATAGTGCATAGAAAAGAATGGTTACTAAATGTTTGACTACTAGATACAATTACTGTAAAACATAAATTAGAAACCTGAATTTACTGAACTCAGAATGATATATACAGAAAGAACTGATTTTTCTGATGTTTTGAAACTTTCCTACAAGTAACACAAATTCACATTCCTACAAATACTTGCTGAAAACTTCATCATAATTGTCACTCCATGTGTAGCAGTTTTTGTAAGCACATACCAAAAAATGTGTATAGTTTAAATAGGTGGAGTTATTTGTATATAAAACATGCTGAATTTTTCGGGGGTTGTTTTTAAAATATATGCAACTTTGGCCAAGTGGCAAGCTATAAAATCAACATATAAAATTCTGTTGTGTTTCTATATACAAATAATTAACTATAGGAGAAAGCTATCAAGTAAACAATACCAGTTACAATGGCAAAAAAAGAGAGAATTAAGAGAGATATCTAAGAATTAAAGTAGGACATGAAAAGAGCTACACAATGTAAGACATTGTTAAAAGAAACGATTTAAGGACATGGGAAGATAATATACACTCATGGGTTGGAAGAATTAATATTATTAAATTGGCTATCTTATCCAAAGCAATATTAGTGCAGTCACTATCAAAATTCCAATGGCATTCTTCAGGAAAATAGAGCTGAAATGTGTATGGAACAACAAAAGACCTGTATAGCCAAAGCAAGTTTTACAAAACGGAATGGAGGTATTATGCCTCCACACTTCCAATTACACTATAAAGTAATAACAATAAAAACAATATGGTACAGGAACAAAAACAGACATAGATAAATGCAATAGAATTGAGAGTACAGAAATAAACCTATACTTTTATATGGAGAATTAAGTTACAACAAAAGGACGAAGAACAGTGGGCCTTCTGATGGTGCAGGGGTGAAAGACAGTGCAATCCAGCTCCTGCCAGCCACTGAGTTTAATCCCTGGCTGGCCAGGGAGCTAACCCACATGGCATAGTAGATCTTTCCTGTGTGGCTGGATGCCCCCCCTCCCCCCCAGCAGTGTATTTCATTACATCTGCCTGTTCTGCTCCTCACTCTGTCTCTGGTGAATCCTCTCACTCCCCTTTTCCCTACCACTTAACCTTTGGCCTATGTCCCAGTTCTTGTATACATAAATAAATAAATCTTTTTTTTTTTTAAAGGACCAAGAACATATAATAGAGAAATGAAAGTTTATTCAGCAAATGGAAATAAACTGGGAAAACGAGACAGTTGAATGCAAGAGTGAAACTAGACCACTATCTCACACTGTACACAGCAGTTAACTCAAAATGGATTAAAGAATTGTGTGTAAGATTTGAAACCATAATATAGGCATAGGCAGAACACTCCATGATACTGGTTTCAGAGATTTCTTTGGGAGGTATGCACAGTAGTGGCAAGTGAAGCAAAAACAAAGAAACGAATGACATCAGTTTAAAAAGCTTCTTCACAGCTAAAAAAGAAACTATAAATAAAACAAAAAGTCACATTGAATGGGAGAAAATATCTGCGCATCAGACACTTGACAAGGGGCTGATATCCATGATGTACAAAGAACCCATACAATAACAAAAATATCACAATAACAAGGGGGTGGGGACAGATGACCTAAATAGACACTTTTGCAAAGAAGATACACAGATGGCCACTTGACAAAAAAACCTTAATATCACTTAGTATCAGGTAAATGCAAATCAAAACCAGAATGCGGTAACAACCTAACACCTAGAAGAATGGCTCATATCAAAAAGACCAGGGGCCACAAGTGTTGGTCTGGGTATGGGGGAAAAGGATCTCTAGTACAGTGCTGGGAATGTAGCTGGCCCAGCCTCTGCGGAAAAGAACAGCATGGAGGTTTTTGAAAATATTAAAAATAAATTTACCATATGGTCCAGCAATTCTACTCCTAGCTATCTACCTGAAGAATGCAAACACAATAGTATGAAGGGATATATGCATTCCTGTGTTCACTGTAATATATACAAGCTATGGAATTAACAAAGTGCCCAAGTGGATAAAGAATACTACTCAGCTATATACTGAAATGGTGGATGATGGGTGCTTTGGTAGTGAGCATGGAGGGATAATACATATCTTGAAGTCATACAGTATTGTAAACTGTTATCACAATAAACGTAATACATTTTTGGTCTAATTTCATTTTTTCAGTTTTATTGATATCTAATTGGCACATAACACAAGGATTATCCTTGTCGATGTCTGTTCTTTGGGCTTGGACAAATGATGACATGTAGCTACCATTATATAATCATGCAGAGTACTTTTTTGCTGTCCTAAAAATCTGTGCTCTGGGCCCTCCCTGGTGGTGCAGTGGGTTATAGCACTGCACTAAGAAGCTAAAACCACTTCAGCATGTGTTTGATCCCCACCCCAGAGGTGACCAACATGGCACGGTGTACCTGTCCTGACGTGTGACCCACATGGCTCAGTGACCTTTCCTGACCTGCCCACTGCTCTCCTCAGCAGTGTACTTCGTCAGTTGGCCTGTTCTGCTCCCCACTCTGTCTCTGGTGAATCCTCTCACTGCCCCTGCACAATTTACAAAAGAAATCAATCTAATTATCAATGAAGTCACATATTTGATAAATTGTGAAATTTCAAATAATATTATAGGGAATGGAGGAATAAAAATTGTCAGCCATCAAACTGAGAAGTTCTAATTTGAACTAAAGGAAAAGATGGAAGCAGAAACTAAGCAGTTTCTAACAGAATTAATTAAACTGTGACCACAAAAACAATTAATGTTCTTTTTCTGTTTGATTGCTGGAATTTTATTGAACACATCTCCAACCCAAATTAATCCACTGGGATTCCTGTTGGGGGGAAAAAAAGAGGGAATTCAACAAATTCCCATTTGCTGATCCTTTCCTGGTACCATTCAGTACAAGTTCACTATTGATATTCTTGGTAGCATTTTGCTGATGGGCTTACCATCAAAGTATGAGACATTTTATCTATAAGGCAAGCTCTTGTCAGTTATTGGAAGGAACTGGAGGTAGTTACACAAAGCTAAAAACAAACCTTAGAATTCTGACCCTTAATTGATAATACCATAGGCAGAATGGGATGGTGGAGAACAAAATGTGGAAAGTATCCTAATACGATGGTGGAGGACTAAGGTTTCCTGGTGCAGGTGTGGTAAATTACATTTGAATAGGTGCCACCCTATACCTCTGAACCATATACAGTGTTGTAAGCCAATGTTACTTCAATTAATTAAAAAAAAAAGGGTAGTTTGATGAGGCAAGGTCTTTTACAAAAGACACACTAATATCTTTTTAAAGTTAAAACTAAAAAAGGTTGGAGAAAAATTTTTAAGCATAAAGACGAACATGGATGCAATCTATCTCTGTTCCCCTCCATCCTTTGGCCCCCATGTTACTGTTTGCAGAAAACAACAAAAAACAAAAAACAAAACCTGAACCGTTCCACGCAAACTGTATGAGGTTAGGGAGAAGGAGGTCAGACTTCTCAGTTGCTAACTCCCTGGTGCAGAACAAATATAAAATATGATTAGTGTCTAGCACACTAGGCAAGCATTTACATGGAACGTTTCAAATTTAACAATTAAAGATTAAAAAAAAAAAAAGGTCTGCCGTAAATATCGCCAAATAACCCCCAACCAACTTGCAGCCTTTGATCACACAAGTCTTGAGCCCAGTAAATGTTTCATCTAGGAGACGGGTCAAGGCTTCATTCCGCCAGGTCTCGGCGACTTGCAAAGCCGATGTGACAAACGCGTTCCAGAAGCCCAAGCGCCTCAGGAACTCGCCGCCACGACTCCGGGGGGCCTAGTTTCGCGATCCAGCGCGAAGCTTCCCCAACGCGGAGCTCTCACCTGCAGACCCTGCTGCTGGAGGCTCTGCGTGATGTAGTCCAGGCGGCGGCAAACACTCTTCTTGGCCTCAGCGGCCACCTCCTTGGTGCTACTCACTCTCACGGCTACCAGTGCCCGGTCGGGGCTCGCAGACACCTCCGCGGTCGCGCTTACTTGCACCTCGCGTGTCGCAGGCTGGGCCTGTGCTGAGGGGAGCGGGCGGCGGAGGCCTGGCAGCGTCTCTCCTGCCGACACCTGGTGGTTCTCCCGTCCTCGGTCAGCCCAGGGCACTAGTTCCACGAAGACCCGCGACGGAGGGATCTGTGGCAGCGACATGGTGCTGGCGGCGAGGTTTCCATAGTAACTGAGGGTCGACGGCGGCCGGAAGGGCCAAAGCGCGCCTGGGCGCTCGCGAGCGCTGCGCAAAGAATGCCGGGATGGGCTTGGAATTCCCCCGAGCTCGCACTGGGCGCGAGGTACGCTTTGTAGATTTGCGGCATCTCCTTGATCAGAGTGTTCAGTGAATGAGTCGCTGGAGATATTAACGTGTTTACCTCACTGTTTAACACATTTTTAGCATGTTCTCCCTGCCGGCGCTGGTCCAGTGAGGTTCGCCGTCCTTCCCACACTGCCGTCCAGTCATCTGGGCGCTTTGCAGGCCACAAGTTCAGGGCGAGGTGCCAGAGTGGGTTGCCTTTCAGGTTTCTTTTGCCCAGGTCTGCGTTTGTCTCCAGGCTTGCCTTCTCTGACTTCACCGTCCTTCTAGGGTGTAGCTTTTGGGGACTCCAGGGAGTCAGTGCGCGACAGATTTCTGTTGAAATGTCACGGCCTTGCCTCTTCGACCTTGAGCGTTTGTGATTCCTTCAGTTTCAATTTTAGAGTCTCTAAGCTATTGCTATTACATTTACATTTGCCTAAGGCATAACCAGTAGTAATAATCGCTACGTTTGGGCATGATTTCCAAGACTCAGATTTCTTTCATCCTTGAACATGGATAAGGGAGATTCCAGCAGTACCAAGCGCATTCAACATGGGCGTTGAGGTGCCCGTAAGACTTATAACTTCTTACCTTTTTTGTGAGAGGACATAACACCATTCTCAACCTCCACTCTTCCGCTCACCCGCTATTAGGTCATTTTTCTTACCGATAATTAGTGATCTGTGTAAAAAATAGCTGCTCTCTTCCGGTGGAAAAAAGAAACTTGAATTATCTTTTTTTATCAGATACCCAAAATAGTGTTTCTTGATTTGGTTGAAATTGTTCTCCCTAGTAATAAATATGGAGAAGTATAATCACTAAAATTTATTGTTGATTGAATATCTTAAGTTAAAAGCAACAGGAGCTTTACGTTATCAGGAAAGATTTGAAAAAAAAAATGACTTTATTGTTGATTGAATATCTTAAGTTAAAAGCAACAGGAGCTTTACGTTATCAGGAAAGATTTGAAAAAAAAATGACTGAACTAAAATTTCTGTATATAAAACAAAACTAAATGGTGAGGGAGACAAATAAATTGGGAAAATATTTGTAATACATATTATGTGTAAATGGTGATCAGTATAAGTTGTTAATGGCTTAAGGTTCAGACAGTTCTTGCCAAAAGACAATAATAGCAAAGTGGTTAATGAATCCAGAGTCTGCCATTTGGGGCTGCCATAACAAAATTTCACATATTGGGTGGCTTACACATAAATTTATTTTCTCACAAGTTTTTGACAGACATGGTGTCTCCTAAGGTCTTGCTCCTTAATTTGCTGATAATCTCATTTTGGCCTCTAATGGTCTTTCCTCTCTGTGCAAACATCCCAGTCTGTTTCTATAAGGATACAGTTTTATTGGATTTGCACTCCACCTTGATTTGCACCTGTTTGACTCTTTAGGGCCCTATCTTTAAATACAGTCCAAATTGAGGGTTAGCGCTTTAACATAAGTAGTAAATCAGTAAGGCAGAAACATTAACAGTATGAGGGGGAAAATATCCTTATGAGCTACTATTTTGGCAAGTAATAAGGGTAGTAGGAATGGAGAAAATATAAATAGAGTAATTTGGAAAGAATGGAATAGTTCTTGGTGAGAAAACTATAAACTCAATAACAAGGTTAAGTCCAAACTAACTTGCAAGCATTTGGTCTAGATAAATGATATAATTTTCCCATAGAGTTGAGATTGAGTTTATAGATACCATTCTGAATAAGGATTGGACCCAGAACTGACACCCATTCAAATTGAGACAGTTAACAATGTTTTGTTTTGTTTTTACAAGGCTATCTATATATTAAAAAAAAATTCAGTTTCTCAGAAGACTGTAAGATGACATTTTGCACATACCACTGACCACTAGAAAAGCAGAAAATAGTATAAAGAGAAAAAGGAGGGGTAGAGGAAGAGAGAGAGAATGAATATGAATCATACATCCAGAGAGGAAGAGAGATGAGATAAAGGAATCCATACATAAGTCTAACTTCTGTTTCTAGACTTTTTTTGAAACAAGGTTTCATTCCTGCCTTAGAGTTCTATAAAATTCCTATATTGGCCTTCCCTGGTAGTGCTAGGGGTTAAACACAGTGCTATGAAACTTTCCACAGCCACTGTAGCATGAGTTCGATCCCTGGTCAGGGAGGTGAACTACATGTTGCAACAGATCTCTGCTGTCTTGCCCGCTGCTCCCCTCAGCAGTTTTCTTCATCAGTTGACCTGTTCTGCTTCCCACTCTGTCTCTGTGAATCCTTTCATACACCCCCCCCCCCCCCAGTGCACCGCTGGCCTGTACTCCAGTTCTTGTATGCATAAATAAAAAATATCCTTATCATTAACATCCCCTCTTCTTGTTTTTTGCATAAGATATTTGATCTTAAAACTAAAAATATTAACTGATAATGGATAAGGAGAATAAAAAGGTGATTTACATAGCTTTCAACCTTAAGGAATTTTATAGAGCTCTACACAAAGTAGGTCACTGGGTCCACTGCTTAAAGCTTTAAACTTTGGGAAAAATTTTACCCTCCACTGTTATTCAGAGACAGCCTTTGTGGTACAATGTGTCGGGCCATTGCTTTCCATTTCAATTGGAGTCTATTTATTGAGCCAAACTAGCCATAAGACGACCTGCAAAAGGTAAAATATTTCCTTCCTCCTTTAGCTGTTTTTTCACACCAGAACTCTCATATAGCTATTAGTACCAATTGAGAGAGTTACTCTATGGCTACCTTAGTGTGTGGTATGGGAGTCTGGGTTACCTACTCACGCAGCTTATGCCTCTTGATACTTCTCATGCCTTTTGTCCCAGATGTACTGTTTTCATCTTCTGATGAGTTTGTTGTTGGACAGGCTGCCTGTGTTATCCTGGTTTATGATGGGCAATTCTTAACTTCTTTCATAAAACGGGTCAGAAAACTAGAAATATGTTACATGTTACATACTGAGAGAAAAATTAAATTAACCTCAAACTGTACATTACATTTTTCCTCAGGAATGAGAGGGAATGGAATTAAAGATATTTTCACACATACAGAGAAGGGAGTCACCACCTACAGACTCTTGCTAAAATGTTAGCAATATACCTTTATAATATTAGTAAGAAGGCATGGCATAGGTGAAGTAATAATAATCACAAAAATTGACAACATATATCCATAAATGTAATTTAATCACTTCTTAAAATAACTTCTTGTTTGGTGTGAATGATTAAACAAAAACTATAAAAACACTAAACAGTTACAGGGAGAGGAGAGACATTACTTTGGGTTAAAGCATCTTAAGGTGTTTGACTTATTAAAAATTAGTCTAGAGATAGACATAAGAACGGAAAGCATAAAATACCTAGAAGCAAAGATGGATCAAACACTACACGACATACACTTCAGCGACATCTTTAAAGACAGAGCACCCAATGCCACAATAGTGAAGGCAAGGATAAATAGATGGGACTACA